CACGGTCCCACGGCGCTTTTACCTAGGGAAGAATGTGGATGCGGTACTTGTAGGGTATTCCTAATGGGGTCATGATGAAATTCAGGATCTTCTAGGTCATTCGGCCCGTCCACTTGATACTGAACTGTCGTTGCCGTGGACTGATGAGTTGCGGGTGGCGAGTCGGTTTAACTCATCGCCATCGTTCTCGAGTGAGCTGTTCACATTCGTAAAATTGAGTGAGGGGAATTCATTTCCAGCCTTCATACTTCGTTTGACGAACGCGAATAGTTACTTTGGACTATTCTTATATATATATCCGCCAATCGTGAGTTCCTCCGAGCCTTATCAGTGGGCCTCCGCCCACTGTCCGCGCCGCGAGAGAGAACGGTTTACATCCAGCTTCTTCTCTCCGCCTCGGTGATACACCTCTTTAGCGATTCAGCAGAAGTCCTTCTTGCTGACTCAGTTACCGCCCACTGTCCGCGCCTCTAGCGAGAACGGGTTACATCCAGCTTCTCCTCTCCGCCTCGGTGATACGCCTCTTTAGCGATTCAGCAGAAGTCCTTCTTGCTGTCTTACTCAGTTACGGTCTGGTCAACTTGAGCTCGTGACCGGCACGCCTGTGGAGGACACCATGTATCCAGACGACTCCGACTATTTCGGAAGTTGATGCGGTTCAAAACACCCTGAAGTCAGTACACAGCTGAAGCAGTCGTCCACGATGGTCGCATGTATCGACTCCAATCCAGTTCGACCACCTAATTGAGTCTCAGATGCACTAAACCTGTCCACAAATGCATTCATATCTCCGGCAATTACAGCGATATCTGAGCTTTAAGCTCGCCTCAACAGTTCATTCAGTGTCATAAAACTTCTTTCTGCTGGTATCAGAACTACGGTCAGTTGGGACGTAAGCAGACAGGTTTGTGGGACTACTTTATAGACGGTGCCTGACGAACCGCACTGAGGCGACTATCAACGTGTATACAGTCAAGGAAGCACTCTTCTTCCCGGGAATTAGGAACGGCATCAACCACTCAACATTCTGCAGCAGCCTCTGGATCGCCAGAGGTGCGCAACGGAAAGCGAGTGGAGAGATTGAGCTGTTAGCTCAACCACTGTGTTTGCATCTCTAATTCTTGTTTCCGATACACAACAAATGTCAAGCTATTCCAGTGTTAGAGCAAGAACAGCTTGTTGTCTTGCCTGCTTAAGAGTGCCGACATTGAAAGTGGCCAGATATACTGAGCATCGAGGCTTAAAGATTGATTTCGAGACGCCTGAGGATGTGGGCGCTGGACTACGCGCAGATGTTGCCGCCAGATGTCGATGCTGGATGAACCGAGTCATCAGTCTTAACTGCTGGGCTTACGAGGGGAGAGTTATTAATGGAGCAGGGAGAAGAGGAAGAAAAAGTATGTGAAAGAAAAAAAGGAGGCTTCAGCAGTAACCTGTTTTCGCTTACTCGCCAGACTGTACGTAGCCAGTAAGTCGACTCGGCTGATGGCGCCACACAACGTCCGATGTGGCGTAAGAGTACTGCTATTTGTAAGTGTAATGGTTGTACGTGGGTTGCGATACCACCATGGCGACTATCACTTGGACCCCTTCAGTATAACTTAGCGGATTGTGGAGGTACGCAAATCGTCACACCACGACAAGGTCCAGTCTCTTCGTGACGTTTCAGGATGATGGTTCATGAGTCAGGAGATAAGAAATCGGTTTAAATAAATCCGACTTCAACCACGCTGATATCCCGATGAGTTATGGTGGCTATCTCATATCACCGAGTTAGATGCAACTCTGGTACGTTCGGAAACAAGAACCAGTCATGCAGTTCGTGTTGCGATTCATTTTCTGCGAGGTCTTCGTGCAGAAAACCAGATTTGATGACGCATTAAAGTCTCTTTCGGTGTACAGAAAGTGAACCGAATTCACCGTCAGATGACACTGCTTATAAATTAGTTACCACAAACAGACGCTTTTGAACTCTTAATCCTCAAGGTAATGGACAAGCACAATGGATTTAGGAAGCACTTTATGTGACGCAGCATAACATGCAGATAAATGCGTCCCTGTACACGCAGTACCAGCGATAATTACCGAAAATATTTTGAAATTTCAGTTACCATTGGGATATCGTCACAACCTTGTGGTAGAAACTGGAAAACCCTTCACAAGACAGTACAGATGATAGGTGCGCATTGGTTGCCATATGCCGATCTCCTTGTGACCATATTTTTTCGGTAGCGGCATATCCCTCAGTTGTTTGGGGACTCATTGCAACCAATAAACCCTGGTGTTGCTTGGGATAACGTGACGTCGAATATTTTAAATTCAGCATCTTTAATATTGATTAGACCACTCACTCACCGTAAACGTAGCTGAAGTGAAGTAAGTGTATTTTTCCTTATACACGACCAGCCCGTCATATATTTGACGGTCATGTAACTGTCATGGAATTGAGGCAGCAACAGGAAACCCAGCTCAAAACAAAACGAAACAACAATAACAGTACGCACGTTGCAGATTCCATTCGTTCAGCTGTAGCACCCTTTCGGTGCCTAACCGCCATGCCACCAGAATGAAGCACGAGGAATGGGATACTGCCTGGTCGTCTAAGTCTAGACAGAGGAAGTTGAGAGACAGGGGTCGGGTTCGATCCGTGGACCTTCAGGTCAGTAAATTCGTGCTTCAACGGCTGAACCACCTCGCCCCCTTTAAATTTAATCACAACAGTATAACGGGGCCTGGTTAGCCTGCACGGTGCAGTGAGGTGTGGTTGGTCACTTCCGTGGACAACCGTTGACTGGCCTACAGCTGGGACCTACAGAACCGTGATTATGAAGCACGATGGACGCGGTGACATTCAAGATGGATGGGACTCGTCACCACTCACGCGTTTTACCTATCCGCCTTGCTCTTCACCACCGATGACCGATATAAGGTACCTATATTTGTATGCGAGCTGAGCTACCGCCATGATGCCTAGGTATAATTAGAAGACGATTGGGGTCCTCAGGCAAGGTCTTAGGTTCAGAGGCTTGGCCGCAAGGTATTGAGGTTGGTGTAAGACCATTGTGCCATTTTACGCCACGCTTCGGCATCCCAAATAGTGTTTGGGATAATAAACTGCTCGGACCAAATATCAGTCGATCAACGCGCCAGATTAAGAGCCCATATTCAAGACATGATGTGGTCACAGTGGTCCGTCTTTGCACGTGAAGTCGTTCGAACACACTTCGCTTGATTTAGAGTGGTTTCAAAGTAGTTTGAATCAATGTAGCCCTGTCCGCTAATTGTGCTGTATCGTGATAGGCCCAGATTGAGAAGTCAGGACAGCTGATACTCTCAACACAGTACAAAGTCATTGAGCTAGGTTGGAACTACCTTTACGTCTTAAGGAGCTGATAGGAAATACAGAAATCATGGTTATTTCCAGTGTTGACTACTATAGGATGTTCAAAACATTACAAATACAACTCGCTCATTTGGCCCGTTTCAAATGTCTGGACATATGAAACACCGGTGTAGGGGTTGAAACGAGAGAACTGGATTCATGCGTGGATCGAACCCTTTAACCGATAATCTACAATAAATCACCTGATTGTGTCCTTTGGGTTTGAAGATAGGGGGAAATGGGAACTAGTTGCGGAATAGCTTGGTGTAAAATGACGGAGTGATGCAGGTCAGAATGCTTGTTGATTTTAACAAGGGTGTCAGAAGTTCAGTGCATTAGCTGTAAGCTATGTTCCAATGGTACTTTGGTTCCAACTGCTACAGCTTCAGATACTTTTGACCTAAGGCTGTCACTTTGTCGTGGTGCTCGGGCTTCAGTGCTGCAATCATCCTGTGGGCTACAGTTGTTGAAACTCATTTCTCCAGGGCTCGAGCATACCAGGAAGACCAACGGGGAGAAGCCCGACGAAAGAATAGCGACTCTCCATACTGCCAGAAATAGTATTACGAGGCGGTCTGGAGGTGAGGTCGTACTGTCCTCTGCGATTGGAGTGTGAAAGCAGTAAAGCATTTTCTCTAACAAGGCATTTCCTTTAGGTGACCTGCATTTTCATATTTGCTGTAGCAACAATGCCTCCTTCACCTGAGAAAGGACGAACGGTGATCCTAACACAGTGATTGGGGGTACCTAAGGTGTGAGGGTTGCATTCAGTTCCAAGCCTCAAAGCGATCCCAGTATAGGTCTCTTTGGACCCTCCCTTCAGCCTCAGAAGTGCATATCTCTACTCAAGCGTCGTCGTGTTTTCGACCCTGACTACCTTCCACCTGCTCTGTTCAAGGCTGCCGGTGGGTTTCTGAGCCAGTTCTTGTCCAGCCTATTTGGTTCTATTTGGGAGAAAGAAACCTCTTCACATAACTGGGCTGAGTCGATGCTGGTGTCCATTTCCAAAAAGGGTACTCGCAGTCAATGTAGTAGGCACAGAGGTGTTAGTTTGACTCCTGTTGTTACAAGGCTTGTATCTTCACTGGTTCTTCGTCATCTTACAATGGCTTGCGACACCTTGAATCGTGAGAGTCAGGCGGGATTTCATCCGGAAAAGACTATGCTGACTGCAACTTCACACTCCGTCAAGCGTTAGGGCAACGCCACATGTACAGACGACCCAGAATCTTGGTGTTCCTTAACTCCAAGAGTGCACTGGATTCTTTCGATTGGTCAGCGCTGTTAGCTGCATTTGCTCAACAGGGTATGCCGCAGACGTTTCTGAGCGTAATCCGGTCTCTATATTAACATACTTCTGGGCGCGTGAGTGTATGGTGAGTTCTTTGGAAGCTTATCTACAAAGGTGGTGCCCGACGAGGATTTCCACTCTCCATTTGTCTTCAGCTTCATCATTGATGAGATGAGGCGGTGAACGCTGGGAGTTCTCCGAAACCCCAGTTTTCAAATTGTTACTAGTGAGAAGCTTGTCGACCTGGAGTACGCAGACAACATCACTCTCATCTTTGAAGACGAAGACGAGTAAACTGACCACCATCATACCATTGTCGGCATGCGCCTAGCACCTTCAAAGTGCAAAGGTATGCTTCACAACGTACAGTGTCTGAACATACCTCTTACAATTAAGTGAGAATCCATGTATGGTGTGGTGAGTTCTACATCCCTCGGTTGTTGTATTAGCTCTGACGGAAGTGTCTGTTGAAATCAGTAGACGAATCTCGAAGACCCTAATCGCGGTTGCTGATTCGCACTCGGGGCTCCAAAAAGCATATCACTGGGTCTGAAGTGTCGCGTGTACCAGGTTACAGCAAAGGCTGCACTAATGTATGGTTGCGAAGCCTGGCCTCTGCGGATAGATGTGAGGCATTTTCAGGTTTTCGACCACCAATGCTCCAGAAGCGTTGGTGCTACCGGATAACATGAACGTTTTAGTAACGAGGTGATTATAATACGGGTGCTTCAATCGCGCAAAAAACGCAGTACAATCAACTGCATTGTCTTGGTCATGTCCTACGCATGCCGAAACAGCATTTGCCGAAACAAATGTTGTCCTCCGTGCCACCTTCAGAATGGCGGAAACCGCGAGGTGGACAAAGTTTGTTTCAAGAGGAGTATCTGAAAGAGGTCACGAAGAGTTCGAGTGTTGTTGGTACTGTACGCCTTCCAAGATGGGGTCTACGTGCCCCATCCTGTGCTTGGCTGGAGACATTGCACGAAATGACGGCTGATTGATGTCAGTGGCGTTCGTGTTGTCAGTTTCTTTCCAGATGGTCTGACTGAGCACTTGAAGACAGCAACATCAGTGTTGGCACTGATGCTTCACTACCGTACCTGCAATGGGCCATCACCTAGTCCCCTCCCTCATCCAGTCTTTTCTTTTCATTCTAAGGCTGGAAATATGGTCAGATAAATTCTGTGGTTGTACGGCAGTAAAGCATCAGTGTCAGCGCTGATGTTGCTGTTTGATGATCCTGGTGTTGATGATGATAGTGAATGCCTATTTGCTCGACGGTAAGGATGGAGGAAGTGTTACATAGTGGAATAGTCGTCCTCACCTCCTAGGTTACACTGGGTAGGACATTGGTGAGGTGTCTACTGATATATGTCTCTTACACCGGAATAGAAGAGATAAACGACCTCGAGGATGTTGTACTTGGATCAGCTGAACCGTTCCGTGGTATGGATTCAAATTAATCAGAATGTAAAAGAGCGAACAGTCCAACAGCATATCAATGGAAGGCCTAAATGAAGAAAATGGGGTTTTTACTCTACAGGATGGATTGTTAGCGAAATGGACTTGTTCATTTGGAGACAGTCCTCTGCATGCTAAAGGACCGTGTGCCTGGCAAATCCTTTCCCCCATCCTTGTGGTGAGTGGAAGCGATCGTGAGATAGTGTATGACCGGGCAAAGATGTGTGAAAACGCTAACCCGTAACCTCAGTCGATTCGATAACTGTCTCCTCTCTGGATGGGGGATTCGAGACCTAACTCAGCCAAGTTTAATGACACTGGCAGATATAGCCTAACCACGCAGTCTAGGCGTGGGCGCTCTGGCAGTATCCCAGCCCACGTACAACCATGAATTAAACATACACAAATAAACTCATGCCACATCGACCGTCGCGTGGTACCATCAGCCGGGTCGCCTTACTTGCTGCATACAGCAGGGCGGGTAAGCGAAAACAGGCTACTGTTGACGCCTCCCTTCTTCCTCCTTCACATGCTTTTTCTTCCCCCCTTCCCCACCCCATTAATAACTCTCTCCTTGTAGGCCCAGCACTTAGGACTGATGACTCCGTTCGTCATGCATCGGTTTTGCGTGCAGCATCTGCTCGTTCCATGGTACTGACATCTTCAGGAATCTCCAAATCAGTCCTCAAGCCTCGACACCCA